AACTGTAAACTGCATTCTGCTATTTTGTGGTACTTAGATTGCTATTTTTATGCAAATATTATGTTATTTAAAATCCAATTTTACTGTCAACAAAATGCGTATAAAACACCGGCATTTAAGTCAATAAAAAATTGCAAATAATTTGTTTTCAAAGTTATCCAAGGCCCCCAAATGCTATCTAGATCCTCTACAGTCTTTTTTCACATAATTATAAACTTCAAAGTTCTCACGAAGCGGAGTTTAATAATAACCGATTATTGACCGAGCGTGAGATCTTTACTGTGAAATATCAGACCGTGGCTTTTTATATAATATTGTATGCAGAGGAATATTGAAATAATATCAATATATGCATTTAAATATGAATATTAGTTTATTAAGGTTTGTAATGTTGTAAGATAGGATGATACGATCATGTAAGTGTGAAATCGTCGAAATTAACAATTTGACAGATGAATTGTTGATTGCGTTATCATATTGTAGGTGGTAGGTATTTTATTCAGTTGCAAACAAAGAAGACAAAACTTATGATAGTAGAGCTTATTTCTATTTATTTAATCTGTCAACGTCTAAAATCTGACATACAGAAATCCTTCAATTTTTCCAGTTCTTATCGTGACCAAGATACGCTTTAAGCTAGATAATTATTCTGTATTTGTAATTGAATTACTGCGCAGTTATCATTCTATAAACCAGCAAAAAACTTACAAATACAATATTGTTTTCCAGGAATAACATTTGCAAACCTGGAAATACTTGCCCAATGAAAGTGAAACTGATCTGTATTGATATAAATAATTTTATATCATGCGGGGTGAAACTATACGGATTTCGGGGGGGGGATATTCATATGCACTGTTCTCCCCAATGGATTTCTTTTGACCCATTGACTTCGTTGATTTTCGCGCTTGTATACCATGAAATATCTACAAACACTGATAAGTACAGATTGCAGTCACGTAGCAATGCGGCCTGACAATTTATTCCTGCTATACTAATATTTTAATGCATCTTGATTATGAAAACAAATAATTTTTGCAGAAATGAATAATGATAATTTGCACATCAAGGACTACGCCGCTGACACTTTGTATGCAAGATCAAATCCACTATGTTTCCGAAGCGGAGCCAAGAAGACAAGGTGGGATTTGACATCTTAATTTGAAAAATGAACCTTTCCAGTTGTAGAGTAACTACCAAAAAAAAGTACGAGTAATATTTGAAATATTTTTCAAAATTAGAAGAGCGGGCAGGGCGAGTTCAATTTTCCCAAATTTGAAACATCACGAGTACTATTCTAATAACCCCTAATTGTACCAGCAACACTACAGGATTATTGCATGGCAAGGCCGTGCGCAGAAAGTTTGAGCTAGAGCGGCAGTGATGGTTCTTGTGCGACGAACAGTAGGGAAGTCAAGATCTACTACCACTACCAGTACCGATACGAAAATTCATGACGTATTACGGTTTGGTTGCGCGGAAATTTTAAAGCGTTAAGATTGTGACTTTCGTAAAGGCCCAAACAGAAACAGTCGCAAATTGGCAACGCGGCGCGAATTTTGAATGTTTTTTATTTTTCAAAATCAAATAAATTTTAACCGATCATAATTTTCTTGTATTTTACACAACAATAATTCATTTTGACTGCTCTGCGTCCATTGATTCCAAATTTGTCTTCCAGAATTTAATTTACATGCTTCTGAAAACTCAAAATTCGCGTTCCGTTGTCGTTTCGCGTCTTGTCTGTGTCCACCCTAATAAGTATATAAACATTGCGGAGTATAGCGGCTGTATATTCACATCAAAAACTCTAATCAAAATCCTAAAGTCTCTAAACAAAGCAGAAACATTATACAATTAAAAACTAAATAATATTATTAGAAAACTACTGCAGAAAATGACAACAATACAGTAAATAGAATATCGGTCCTCGCTTACCTATCCACTTCCATTTTCAGCCCCAAAACGGTACTCGCGACATCACATTTTGGACGATTGTTACGTCTGCGAATTTGCCTGATTGAATATTGCTATCGTTACTCGTAGCGGAAGTCGATCTTAACATCCCTAGTGTACAGCCGACGACGCGAAACGACGCGAGGTTTTTCAATGACATTACATTACCACTTCTAAAGTTGAAATAAAGCCAGCAAAAAAACTCTTCGGGTTGACGCGTGAAGGCGTGACTTACATGACTAGAAAGCAGAGGTCCCCACGGGGGGTTTAGAGAGGTTAAAGTGAACTTTCTAGAGTTACATGAGCCCATTAGGAAGGTTATAAAATTGCATGTCATACATAACACAAAGACTAGCCCGTGTTTGGTCCCCGTCGGTTGAAATTCTATATTGACTACATTTTTATTGTTGTATTTAATTATCGTATTAAAAGTAAATAATGTAAAAAAATATCCATGAAAAACGAACTTCAAAGCATGTGTTGATACGTACTACATAGAATAAAGTAATTATATTTGCTAACTTAGTAATTTAGGGTATAATATTAATAATTTACAGTAATTCTATGTCGTTAATAATTGAATTTAAACCTTAACTTTTTAAGCTTTAACATTGTCTTGCCTTTTGCAATTGGAAGCTTGCAGGTTATAACAATTGTTTCCACTTATATACTATTTATTATTTGCTGTAATCATCTTCCTCGCAACATCTCGCAGTATATGACAATAAGTATTAGAAGATAAAAAGGTATTAGAATGCGAGACGAATATAGAGGCTGAACATAAACAATGGCTCACTTTCAAAAACTTTTGACGAGACAGTAACACAGGCACATGCAGATTACTATTTTTCATCGGTTAAATGTAATTTATGAAATGAATAGAAAAAAAAACTTTATTATTGGAAACATATGTGCATAGCTACATCTTCTCAATTCTATAAAACCCTTTATCTTCGATTAATACTTTGAAAAATGAAAATTTAAGTTTAACTGATTTTCTGTAAACATTACGACCAACATTCTTCAACCGCTTTGTGGACTCACACAATTCTTTCCGCACTTCCTTGCCTATGGGATGTCTCTCCTCGTACAACGCTACTATCATGAACGGCATATCCGTACGCACATGGTCGCTATAAAGGTCCTTTAATGAAAATATTTCAACATGATCCACGCAGTATATAGATGAAACAAAAGCCTTTCAAATCCCCATTCCGTGGACCAGTTATTATTACGATTTGTACAAACTTTCGAGGCACCAGTAAATATGATTTATTTAAAGCACAACATCAATAACCACTTGCTTAGTTTGATTATAAAAAAGTAAGCGACAAATGAAGCAGCTTTCGTGCAACTCTAGTAATTATTTCTCCAACAAATACACGCGTATGGGCATATATCTTCTAGTCGACTGAAGAACTCTCACAATACCCAACACTTCACCTGTCCAATACTTTAACACTGGTAACATATTTTGATTTCATTGCTTTCCCTTTTTTAGTTCAGTGAGTCAACTGATCACCGTATACCATATGATGTGTTGAAGGTGTGTTCATTTTTTCAATGTAAAATAATTGTTCTTGCAGTCTTGCGGATTTCTAATTTTCGTACAGTATGTCAAGCAATTATTGTTTCAATTTGCCCGATTTTTTTTACGCCTATAAAATAACTGTGAAGACGCTTGATGACTTTCAGCAATTGTTATAACAAATGTCACGAGTGTTCTACTAAGACGTAGAAGGTAGATCGGTTTGATTCATCTTATCCTTTCTTCCAACAGAAGGCAAAATATTGAGCTATTTCGTATGTTTTTAACGATGTTTTCGGTGATGCAAGTTCAAATTCATATCACTGCACAACGCTTCGATGATCCTCACACGTGCACATTTTACTTCCTTCTTCATTGCGGAAACACATCAATACAATACGCGTGATGTCGGTCCACTAAGTTTTAGAATGTTGGCTAAATTTTATATTATTTCTTATCTATAAACAAGTATGAAGTTATATCTCAAAGAGTTTGAAGTTTACAACGTTGTAAGCATATACTTAATTGAAAACGTCATTAATGACCTGCGCAAATAGAGCTATTGGTATATTGGTTCTACTATGGAGGATTTGTTCAGTTTAAATCAATTAATAATTAATTTTAGGTTTTTTACTAAATTACGTTTGCTTAAAATTTCTTAACATTCGAAGCTGCCGCACATAAATTAAATATTCGTGTTATCGTAGGAAAAAATCTGGAATTTCGCAAACTTATAACATTGAAGGCCAACTTTTGCAGATATAATTTGCTACATGCTTATACATGTACCAAAATATATCTCGGAAACGTTGAACAGGACGGTGTTAACTTGCAATTGTTTTTCTCCAAGTGAATTTTTTTACTATGTCAGCGCATGCCTGAAACAAGTGTACATTTATTTCCGGGAGCAAGTTCAAATGCTTGCACAAAAAGTTTAATCTACAAAGTCAAATAAAGTACTGCTTCCATCAGTGAAAATTTCATACAGGCAGCCACCCCCTTTTTTTCAAGAGTACAACTATTTGATGTAAACCATGATCAGTGGAGAAAAATATTAGAATATCTGCTTGCTATAGCGTATTGTTTTAACACTGAAATGATACCCTACCTATAATTTTACTTCCATATTGGGAATAAGAGAAGTAAGCAGTAAGAGAAGTAAGAAAGAGAAGTAAGCAGGTTAATGTTCTAATCCTGACTGGCCCGATAGCTCAAAAACGAAGGGATGAAAGCCTGGTTCAAGCCACTTGCAAGAAAATGATACTCCCCTTCTTGGGACCAGCGAACAAGTAGGCAAATAATGGGGATAGGGAATTTTTAAATCACAATTTGAATTGAAATTGATATATACTTACGCCTTTGCGATAACTGCAACACTGCATACCAATCGTATTTCGTCCAACGCACTATCACACTTTGAAGACAGGAAATGTCTACTTATATTGATTTAAAAAACAGAATATATCAAATCCGATACTGATTAAACAAAGCTATATGATTATTATACTTACGAACTTTAGGGTAATACAACAAAACCAGAGAACATGTCACGTGATTTATCTCTGATATTTTCGATGTCATGTTTCTGAAAAACCACGTCCTCCCCGTAGATGGTAAATGGGGCCCAGATTGTGTAAGACCGGTAAGCCTGGATTTGGTGTTTTTGGAAGAGATTCTTTGTCTTTCTTAGAGCTTCACAAACCGATGTTCCCTGGCACAACTCACCATAAAATACTTCCATAAACTCTTTCGTGGCATCATCACTAATGGGCCATAGTGTGGCGATAACAGTGCGAGCGCCGGCTGCTATAAATGCCCGAGCAATACCTACGACACCTTCGGAAGAAATCTCACCTTGCCCGGTATGGCAACAGCATAAAACTACCAAGCTAGCTAGCAAAGAAGTATTTACAATATCCTTCTGTGAGAGAAGGTAGTCGTCTGGATATGGAAGAGTCGAAGTTGGCCGAGTCGAGGAAACGTTAGGGGAAAGCATTATTTCACCTCGAAGTTGTTCACCGTGAGCAGCGATATGGATTATGCTAGCCCCAGATAAAAGACCCAGTACAACCTGTTTTCTAGCTTCACGCCCCACTAAGGGTCTAGCATTGAAGAGCTTTGAAAGACATTCAACTTCTCTAGCAGCATTTGGTAGGGCAGGGGGTGAAAATTCTTTTCCATTTAAGGAAACCGTTCCAACGGTTGGATTACCAACAAACAACGCAAAACCAAGGCCCAGATCTTGAGAGCGTTCAATGCTAAACCTTAGAGTGTGTAATGATGGCGTAACTTGAATGCTGTAACTGTGGGATAAATGACAACCATTTTCATCAATCAATGACGAAAATGGGACAAAAAACAATTGCTTGTCAGGAACAACTATAAGTTTATTGCCTTTAATCACATCGCTTACAGGGTCAATAAGCAGTTTGAACAATGTTTTCAAAATACCGTCTTGGTTTAAATCATCATGCCCAACAGAAGGTTTCTGATAAAGATTTCTGGACGGAGATTTTTCTTTAAAAACGTCCAAAGGAAGAATCGATTTTTCATCAATACTGGCCACTGAATTGAGTTCGAAAAACGAGGAATCCCGATTAACATTCACATTCACCATTCTGAACAATTCACTTATCAGTTGCACAAATGTCTCCCATCGTGCCTCTGATTTTGACACTCTATATCTAAAGATTACTTCTTCATTCAACACCCAAACATTTAGAAAACCTGGCCAATCGAAAGCAAATACTATAATGGAAGTATCGTTGCTTCTTACCTGGAGGATGCTTTGTAATTCTTCGATTTCTACCTGTTCTTCACTATTCTTGATTCTATTCCATCCCGAATTTGCATAATCGAACATTTTTGTATTCAAAGATTTCTTTTTTCTTTCAATGGAGCAATGAAGTTCTTTAGCCCTTCCAAGGTCAATGACTAATAATGCAGATTCAATGCGACCCACAGAAATAAAACAAATCATGATCTTTACATGGACGGTAAAGTATTGTTTAGTGAATGACAACTTATTTTGGTCTGGTACTGAGTTTGAAAACATTTTGTCAAAGATGCAGATAGATTCCATGAAACATGATATTGCACCTTTATATTGTCCTAATAATCCAAGTACAAATCCCAAATTGCTTTTACTAATTGCTAAGAGTGACGGATCATTAATATCAATGCTTATTTCTAAAACTTTCTTGTAATAGTCAATGGCTTTCTCATATTCTCCTAATCCAAAGTAGGCACTGCCCAAATTCAATTTCTGAGTGGCTATTCCAGATTTATCGCTAATACCAGTACTAATTTCTAATCCCTTTCTGAAACAGTCTATAGCTTTCTCGTATTCTTTAAAGCCATGGTAAGCATTGCCCAAATGACAATAGCTCTTTGCTATTCCGGACTTATTGCCAATGGCAGTACTCATTTCTAAACTTTTTTTGGAATAGTCTATAGATTTTTCATATTGTCCTAAACATCCATAAACAACGCTCATATAACAATTGACCTCTGCTATTCGATACTTATCGCCAATAGCGGTACTAATTTCTAAACACTTTTTTTGACAATCAATAGATTTTTCATACTCTCCCAAGAATATATGAGCAATGCCCAAACCGCCATTCGCATCTGCTATCCCCGATTTATCGCCAATAATAGTACTTATTTCCAAACCTTTTTCGAGGTAATCAATAGCTTTGGCGAATTCTCTCAAATAACGGTAGGCGATGCCCAATTTGACATTGCTTGTTGCTATGCCTGACTTATACCCTATAGCAGTACTCATTTCTAAACCTTTTTTGTAATAATAAATAGCTTTCTCATATTCTCCAAAACTAACGCAAATATCACCCATATTGCCATTCCAAGATGCTATTCCTTCCTTATCACAAATATCGCGACTTAATTCCAAGTATTTTTCGCAATAGTCAATGGTTTTCACATAATCTCGTAATCCAAGGTAGGCATTTGCCAAGTCTTTACAAGTTTTTATTATTCCTAGCTTATCACCAATAACAGTTCTCATTTCTAAACTAGTTTTCAAAGAGTCGATGGCTTTTTCATAATCTCCAATTTTTAGGTAGGCAATGCCTAAATTGCTATTGTTAGAGGCAACTGCAGACGTCTGGCCAATATCAGCACTCATCTCCACACTTTTTTTGAAATAGTCAATAGCTTTCTCGTATTCTCCCAATATAAGGTAGGCATCACCCAAATTTTCATTGTTATTTGCTATTCCTGACTTATTATCAACAGCAGTACTCATTTCTAAACCCTTTTTGCAATAGTCAAGAGCTTTCTCATACTCTCCTAAAATGAGATAGGCTTTACCTAACACTCCACTGTTTCTTGCTATTTCTAAGTTATCACCAATAGCAGTACTTGTTTCTAAACCTTTTTTGCCATAGTGAATAGCCTTGGCATATTCTCCCAAACTAAGGTAGGTTATGCCTAAATTGGCATTGTTATTTGCTGCTACTGACTTATCGCCAATAACAGTACTCATCTCTAAACCTTTTTTGAAATAGTCAATGGCTTTTTCATATTCTCCTAAACTATGGTAGGTCATGCCCAAATTGGTATTGTTAGTTGCAATTCCTGATTTATAACCAATAGCTGTACTCATTTGCAAACCTATTTTGATATAGTCAATGGCTTTCTCATAATCTCCTAATCTAAGGTAAGCATAGCCTAAATCGCCATAATTAGTTTCTATTCCTGATTTATGGCCGAGAGCAGTTCGCATTTCTAAACTCTTTTTAAAATAGTCAATTGCTTTCTCATATTCTCCGAACATAAGGTAAACATTGCCCACATTGCCATTTATAGTTGCTATACATGATTTATCGTTAATAGCAGTGCTAATTTCTAAACCTTTGTTAAAATAGCCTATAGCCTTCTCATATTCTCTCAAACGAAGGTAGGCATTTCCCAAATTGCAATTTTGACTTGCTATACCTGGCTTATCACCAATAGCAGTACTCAATTCTAAACCTTCTTTTAAATAGCTAACGGATTTAACGTATTCTCCTAATCTAAGATAAACACTGCCCAAATTGCCATTGTTATCGGCCATTCCTGACTTATCGCCAATGGCAATATTCATTTCTAAACCATTTTTGAAATAGTCAATAGCTTTTTTATATTCTCCTAAACTAAGGTAAACACTACCCAATTTGCCATTAATATTTGCCATTCCTGACTTGTCGCCAATAGCAGCACTGATTTCCAAACCTTTTTTGAAATAGTCAATAGCTTTGTCATGCTCTCCTAAACTATGATAGGCAGTGCCTAAATTGCCATTGTTAGTTGCCACTCCTGAGTGATTTTCAAATTTAATGAAAATTTCTAAGCTTGTTGCAAAATACTCGATAGCCTCTTCATGCTGTCCTAGCTGTAAACAGGCAGAACCCAGTTTCTCACAGGCACTTGCTAATCCTTGAAAATTGCCAATTTCAGTGCAAATTTCCCTATATTTAATGTAATAGGTAATAGCCTTTTTATACTCTGCTAATCTAAAATGGGTATCACCTAAATTGAGATTGGTGTTTGCTCTTTCTAACGGATCATTGTTTGCAGTGACAGATTTTGAAGATTTCGAACCCATTTCGTTACCTTTTGAAGTGTCTCTATCTTTACTTCAGACCTTAAACAAAATTATGTAAAAACTTATTAGACAGGTTAATTAATGTAGCTATATACCGCGCATGGAAGAGTATTTCCTTCGTTGACACAATCGAAGTTTGAGGTGTTATTGTGATCGACACTTGTAATAGTGATAATCGGACTGGTAATAGTGATATTGAAAATGCACCATAGGGCTGTTTTTGGGACAAACCTTTGTTTACGCCCCCAAAACAGTGCCTTAACTCTTTTAAATAAACAATAATATAAGTTACTGCATTAGTATACATTCATTTCTGAGAGAGAGCCTTTGTTTACTTCCCGAAAATAGGACTTAACGAGTGATTAGTCCCTCAACACCAGTCCACAAGCCAAACTTGGGAATAGCCAAAGTCATGGAAATCGAGGACAAATTAACAATGTATAAAGTGGCTTTCTGTCAGAAATGAATGTATACTAATGCAGTAACTTATATTATGATTTATTTAAAATAATTCACAGCATAGGCGGCGGAACCGGGGGGGCAAGCCCCCCCCAACTTTCAGAAAGTAGGAAAAAGGGGGGGCTAAGCCCCCCTAATGTTTGAAATAAGTTGCTTATATAACAAACGTTGAATATAAGAAAAAAATGTTCAACATTATACACCTTGATCCATGTGAACGCTTTTACTGCAATAAGCGGACGAAAATATTAAATATAGGAGAAAGTTTTGGCCTTCCATGACTTCAATGCACTTGGTTTTTATCACTTCACAGCTACACTTTTATTTCATGAAGTACTAGGTGGATATATACGCTGCTGCTCAAAAGTATCGTGGATGAGCCACTGAGCAATAAATGCATGAATAAACAAACATGCAAATGTACGAAATATTCAAACAAGATTACAAGAAAATTTAACGAAGAAAAATTTAACGAGTAATTTTACCAAATGAAAATATGCAAAGAAATATAGACGGCTTTTTTGTGAAGAGGCCTAGAATTAGCCTTTCTCATGATGACGAATATGCCGCCATTTTTGGGGTACTTTTTTTCGAAATCGTGAAGTTAAGGCCTTTTACGCTTACTAAATCTTCAATTTTAGGCTGAACTTATTCGTCAAATGGTCTGTTTATTAAAAAAAAAACGCTTTTCATATTGCTATAATGTTTTAAACCTATTTAACAAAATTGAAAGTACCCCAAAAATGGCGGATATTCGTCATCGTGAGAAAGGCTAATTGAAGACAACTCTAATTCTGAGTAAGTATAATTATAGTATTACGTGCAAATTACGTGCAAATATGAATATCTTAGAATATTAAGAGACAACAGAACATCCGCTGTCGAATGAGACTGATGAGATAGGAGCAAATGAATTTACTGAACAACGTGAACAAGGGCAAGATTGCATATCTGAATGTTGCAAACATGATCTCCCAAATCCTTACGATCCAAATATTGACTTCCATTCAACCAGCAAGAGACAAGGACAGCAAACTCGGTCATTTTCTTCCAACTGGTTCAAGGAATATAACTGGTTAACGTTTTGCACTTCAAGGAATAGTGTGTTTTGCTTCTATTGCCGAAAAGCATATCCATCGGTATTTAATAAGAAAGCCGAACCCGCATTTACTGAGGGTGTTGCAATTCGCGGACACACTGAAGAGGAAGGAAACCTTTACCAGGTTCTTAAATGCAGGTGTGAAGGTGTGCCTGGTCTTGAAGCATGGTTAAGAAAGGGAGTGTACAGATCACATGACATAATCAACGAATTGATCGAATTGATGTGTATGAAAGTCTTGAGAAAACTACTTGCAGAAATTCGGGATGCTGAATGGTACTCAATTATTGCTGATGAAACCCGAGACCTAAGCGGTGCTGAGCAGTTTTCAGTTTCCATACGTTGGGTAGACTCGGAGTACAACATTTCGGAAGATCTGATTGGAATGGTTGAAGTAGAGAACACAACTGCAGAAGTCCTAACATCGGTAATTAAGGACACTTTGTTACGTTGTGTTCTTCCGCTTTCTCAGTGTCGTGGACAAGCATACGATGGGGCTGCCAATATGGCAGGGTGCATTAGCGGTGTTGCAAAGCGCCTTCAGGAGGACGAGCCGTCTGCACTCTTTGTTCATTGCTTGGCACATAATCTCAATTTGTGTCTGCAGGATTGCGGGCGTCAGTGCGATGCAGTTTAAGAAGCTCTCAATCTGACTTCGGGCGTGGCTACTATAATACGTGCATCGCCAAAGCGTTTTGCAATTTTTAGACACTTACAAGAAGAATTTAACATGGATGCTCCGGGATTGAAACCACTATGTCCAACCCGCTGGACTGTGCGAACAGGTGCGATCAACGCCATCTTGAAGAACTATGAAATCATCTGTAATGAACTGGAACAAGTAAGTAAGGATTCTGGACCTTCAGCTTCAAATGCATCTGGATATGTTGCTTTAATGGAAAGGTTTCAAACTTTCTTTGGGCTACGCCTGTCATACTTGGTGTTCAGTGCTACTGAGCAACTCTCCAGAACATTACAGGGGCATGACCTTAATGCTCAGGATGCTGCGATGGCTGTCTCTCAAGCAGTATCGTTCCTTACAAGGCAACGCTCAGACGCAGCATTTTCTGAATTCTTTCAAGCGACCGTTAGCAAGTCAAAGAATCTAACCGAGCCGCCCAAACTTCGCCGGCCTAAATCTATACCTAAACGTCTTGACGACGGTTCTGCCAATCACACATTTACGTCTCCAGAAAGTTTTTTTCGTCATCAGTATTTCGAAGTATTGGATCTGGTGATAAATGAGATGAGGCGCAGATTCAACCAACCTTCTTTGCAATTTTGAAAGAAATTGAGAGTTTACTATTGAAGTCTTGTAGTGGTGTCACAATCCAACCATCTGAAAGTTTGTCAGCATTATATGCAAAAGACCTCGACCTTGACAGATTGAAGGTTCAGCTGTGCATGCTTCCAGACTTAGTGCGACTGCGAATGTAAAACACCAATTGGGTGTGAAAAAGGTAACTTCCATAGGTACCATCGTGCAACTCTTCAATACCTGTCCCTACAGTAAAACCATGCTGCAACAAGTCGACAGGCTTCTTCGAATTTTTCTAACAGTTCCTATGGCCAGTGCTACCGCTCAGAGAAGCTTTTCTGCTTTACGAAGGCTCAAGAACTATTCACGAACCACCATGAGCCAGAAACGACTGAACCACCTTATTTTGATGCATATTCACAAAGACAGAACTGATCAACTGGTCGAACTGGAACTAACAAGTATTGCACAACAGTTCGTATCTGTGAATGAGCGACGAATCAACTACTTTGGTTCTTGGGACTGTTAAGAAGGGAACTATTCTGTAACTACTTGAACCATTTTTCAATCTACACTACTAACAATATTTGTATTGTTTTTGTTTACTCACTATGGTTGACTATTGTATTTGCATAGAGTTTTGAGAGTCTAAAAATTTTCAAAAATGTGTTCGCAGAAAGTTCTAAATGTTACTTCAGAAGACCAAATTTCAACATTTTCCTGGGGAGCATGTCCCATTGTCCCCGAAGTCCGGATTCTGTCCTCGCGTCTAAGCCCCCCCCCCCTATAATGTACATCTTCCGCCGCCTATGATTCACAGACACTTATTTCTAAACTTTTTGTGCAATATCGAATGGTTTTCACGCATTCTCCTCATCTATAAGATAAGCAATTCCTGAACAGCAATTGTTGCTTGCTAGTGCGTTTACAATTAGTTGAGCCGAACGATTGGTATCGGCACGTTTATTTGAAAAGAAAAGCAACTGAAGGCACAGAGTCCACAGACCTTAAAACCGCTATATCAGATATTAGAAAACGAAAATGTGTTCACTAAACGGGATTGGCACGCAAGCAACACTGACTGACCATGCAATAGTAATAATGTGCCGCACTTCTCAACGGCAGAAGTGTAATAAACCATACGCTCTTCTTCGGACTTCTACGATATTTGATAGTACCTAGGAAATCCACGCCGATTATCGTGAAAGGTATTATCATCTTAAGTCTATTCATGTGCAAAAATTCAGCAGGCGGGCTTGGAATGGTTACAACAGGAAATCTCTTACATCCATTACGTTTTTTAGGGATCGCTTTGCCAGCATACGAAAGCAAAGATTGCCGAGGAATCCAAAATTCTTCACGAACTTTCGCGTTCACAAACTTTCCGCTCTTGGGCTCTGCGGACCGAAAATAATTCTTGATATATAATCTCCTGTATTGTTAATACTCTCTGGATCTTGTCGGAAGGATTTCGAGGATTGTGCTTGAATCTCAAGGCTCAATCACCAATCTTCCTTGTTTTACTCAAGCCGAACTCTTCGAGAATTATCGAGGCCATTATTTGCTTTTGTACATGTCACGATCTGAGGTGGTCATTCACCTGGATCAGCCAACCAGACTAGACGTTTCCACCACAACGCTGCTGACGTGAGACTGACGCCACGACTACTCAAGTCTGCAGGCATGGCCAGAAAATTCGGACATATTTAACATTCTACTTCCGCCTAAATTTGCATATGGTGTCAAAATAAAGCTTCGTGAATTTATAGTAAACTGTAATGTGCACAGTACTAAACGCTAAAAATACACCTTTAGGTAGGTCAATTATAATTTGCCTTAATTGCTCGTTGCAGAGCAAGTTAATCTTAATATTTTTATATAGTATTTCAAAATGTTTTATCAATATTCGTTCTGCATTTTCAAAACAAAGTTTTGGTCATTTATCACGTTGAATACCATATAAAACGAAAACCGTAATAGCGTAGAAATAAAATAAAAATGCAGAGCCGACATAAACCTTTGCCGGCAAAATATTACCTCAGGATCTTCAATATGACACGAGTTACAAGAAACAACCAGGGCAAATAGCAAAGATGCAATGATTTTCTTAAATTTTGCAAAATTTAAGAATGCGCAATATAATTTATAGTTCTGCAAACGAATAATATTTGAACAGATATGCAA